TTAAAATTCTAAAAGTAAAATTACAAACAATTTGCATTATTCTACGATGCATTTAATTTTATTTAAATTTTAAACACATTACAACATTTAAATTCCAATGTATGATTATTTTAAAGTTTGTTGTTGTTTAGAGTTTGGATCATACTATTATTACTAATAAATTTCTCATAGTATTGGTTTTACTATTTTTAATTTAATTTATTTTACATATTTTTATTTTTAATTATTTATTTATTACCATGAAAAGAAATTCTATGTTAACATTTTGTAAATTCCTTTTTTCTTTATCTTTAGTTTTTATTAATTATAAATAACATATTATGCACAAAATGAATGTTAGGATGTGAGGAAGTTGCTGAGAGGATATGCTAAACCTTTTCGGACTGAACTGTAACGCCTATATTATCAAAATAAATGTACAATCACCGAAACTTAGTTAGGGATAAGAAGTAATGGAATGGAATTTAGAATTTGTTAATATATGTTAGAATTAACTTAACGCATTTAAGTACCTTAGGCGTAGAGATTTCATAAACAAAAATCTCATGAGCGATTATTCAATTAGAAAGGGACTAAGTTTCTGAATTCTAATAAGCTGAAGTGTAAACGACAGAAATCCGTAGAAGAAACAACGTAAATGAGAGACAGCCTAAACATTTTAACTTATTTGGACTTATATTATATTGGGCTAAAAAATATGTTTCTTTTAATGTCATAAAAAATAAACCCAATTTGGATATAAAAGTGTTGGGGCTTAAATTACAAACTATCAGGCCAAAAGACAGTAAAATGATGAACAAAATATATGGATTTAGATTATTTTTTGGGCTTAACACAAAACTAGAAAAATGCTGAAGTGGACAGCTTTAGAGGGAGAGAGAACTCTCCCATTATATATATAGATACCATCAATTGTAATATTTTTAAAGTTGAACATACAACAACTATCTAAAGGAAGTTCGATGCTAACTGTACACTAAAAAAAACGATAACTCCAATCGCTTAATCTAACAAATCGCTTACACTAATGGACATGTGGTGTACCACTTGGTAAAATCTAGTTACTTAATATGTTTGCTGGTATCACTTTCATACCCAAACTATGATACTCGGCAAAAATCAACCTGAACTCACTAAAAATTCAAATTCCAACCTAAACTATATGAAATTAACCAAAATCAACATATCCCAAAATAGTGTTGGTTAACCGCCTAACGTGAATGAGTCAATCGACAACGTGGCAATGACATGGCATCAGAATTGAGTGAAACAATGTGTTTTTAAGAGTTTAGGGTTCTTGAATTGAAGATTTGATGGATGGTTGCTTTAGCGATTCTTTGATTTGAGAACCCAAAACTCACAAAACGAAGTTTATTCAACTTTGATGCCCCGTCATTGCCACGATATCGGTTGACTTATCGTTGTCAAGCTGTTAACCAACACCGTTTCAGCATATGTTGATTTTGCCTAATTTAATATAGTTTAAGAAATGAATTTGATTTTTTAGTGATTTTAAGTTGATATTTTCCGGGTGTCGTAGTTTGGGTATAAAAACGTTGCCATCAAACAGTCTAGGTTGATTTTGACCATTTTCCCTTATCTAGTATGGTTTAACATGTAATTCGTTAGTTTTGTATGTGATATAGTAATTAAGTTAACACGATAAATATAATTTATCACATAAATCATAACTTATCGCGATATAATAGGTATGTTAATTTCATATAGTTGACTTGTCATTGTGCTAGATCATACCTGGACTTATTGTAAATTTGAATTTATTACCTCGAGATTTCATTTCGTGCTGAATAATACAAAAACGTGTTAAATGTGTAACGCTGTTAACTCTCCGTCGATGTGGATTCCACGTCAGATGACACGTAAATCCATCGCTTGATGACGTGGCAAAACGACGTCGTTTTGGTCGCTTAGATGGTAATTAAAAATATGTCGACAGCAAGGCTTGAACCTCCAACAAATCACTTTTATACTGACTACATAACCACTAGGCCATCAACACTTAATCGGTATACAAGAACAACGCATTAATATATAGTGTTTCGTATTTCTATATAATTAATATATAGTGTTTCCTATTTCTTCTTCATTAATATTAATGATCATTCGACACTAGTATTTCGTATCAATATATAGTGTTTCGTATATATAGTGAAAAACACTATAATATGTTTCGTATTTCTATTTCGTATTTCTTCTTCATTAATATATAGTGTTTTGTATTTCTTCTTTATTAATATATAGTGTTTCGTATTTCTATATATTAAAACGATATAAAGTATAGTGTCTTGTATTTCTTCTTCATTAATATTAATGAAGAAGAAATAGGAAACACTATATATTAATTATATAGAAATACGAAACACTATATATTAATGAGTTGTTCATTTATACCGATTAAGTGTACATGGCCTAGCGGTTATGTAGTCAGTATAAAAGTGATTGATTGGAGGTTCGAGCCTTGCTGTTGAAATATTTTTAATTACCATCTAAGCGACCAAAACGACGTTGTTTTGCCACGTCATCAAGCGATGGATTTACGTGGAATCCACGTCGGCGGAGAGTTAACAGCGTTACACATTTAACACGTTTTTGTATTATTCAGCACGAAATGAAATCTCGAGGTAATAAATTCAAATTTACAATAAGTCCAGGTATGATCTAGCAAAATGACAAGTCAACTATATGAAATTAATATACCTAAATAGTCCAGGTATGAAAAAGCCCATTTTCCTAGTTTAATACAATATATTTGTAAACTTATTTATATATATATTGTTAGCAGGGTAATTCAATAGTTATTCATTAACTTATAACATGATTTTACTTGTGACTTTGTTGAACACTATCTTCGAGAATTATTTTATTAGATCGCTAAATATTTTGTTAAATACGAAAGGATATTTTCGTCAACTTAATACAATGAGGTGAGAGAACTAAATAATAAATTATTGTTTCCTTACTTTTAATTTTTCAATCTTCTGAGTATATAAAGTAGTAATACCCTTCCAAATTCTGTATTCTATAACATTACCAAAAATTCTGTAACTATGAATTGGTGTTTAAAATTGTATAATTAATAAGAAGAAGTGGTCGTGTATTTATAGTTATAGAATTTTTGGTAATTTTAAAATATATCCCACAATAAATAGTTTTAGTTTCGTGATATTACTTGTTGTATCTTCAATATAACCATACTAACGATTTAAACACGTTAGTATGTTTGCGTTTGGTGATATTTGTATTCTGAATAAAATAGGAATCCACAAACTTATGTAAAATGAAATCGACTTGTGCACTTACTTAGGCTTAAAAAGTATATGATGGATTTTGTAACAGATATTGATTATTGGGCTTTTTATTGTTACAGGTAAGAGTACGTGTTTCAGCTTTGCTTTCCTTGAAATACTCCAAGAATATGATCCAATAATAGCTATACGGGTGGGTTTTGTCTAAACGCGCAGACCCTATTAGAGTCTGTCAACAAACTTGTGTTGACTTATTAACCCCTTTCAGTTTTGAGAAAGACTCTCCTTCAAATTAAATTACAGGGTAATTTTGGAAAATTTTTGACCAAATTATTTTCATTTTCAATTTTGTACTACTCCTTTAATATTAAGAAGATATACGAACTCTTCAGTAATCACATCTACAAACTTCATGCACCCAATGTAAGCACCATCTTGACTACGTCAATCCTCCCCTCTATTAGATCAAAAACATGTGTCACTCAAAGAGATCGTTGATATCTGATTGGACCAAACATAGCTTCGCAAGACAAAGATATGAAAGAGGAAGTATTACCAAGATCTAAGTTAAAGTTGTCATCAACTTTGACATAAAACTCTGCATCCCAATTATGAACAGTGAACAGCAGCACTGTAGAAAAGCTTCGCTTTCTTCGGTAACTCTTCTTGGGCATCCTCGTGATTGTCCTAATAAGCCATCATATTTCGAGACAAAATGTGAATTTGGAAGCCACGTTAGTGAGAAGGAATTCAAATAAGCAGGCAATGAAAAGAAGAAAAAGAGTGATCCTTGCTTACAAGAATAAAAAAGTCTTTAGTTGAACAATTTCTTCGTCAATTTTCCTATCTCGACTATCCCCTCAGTTAGCACTGGCAATTTATAAAGCATATTAACATCAGGCCGTGAAAAACTTTGCAACTGAAAAAGAAATCTAGAAAAATGAAAGACTAATTAAAGTGAGTAGGAAAACCTTCGACCAATCAAAAAGCGTATGACAACTCCTCTTTCCTCAAGTTTGTTTCACATCATCATCTAAAGAGAAGAAAGTTTCATAAGAGAAACTAATGTATTAAACCATAGTTATCTGTTGTACCAAACAATGCAGGTGATAATTCTAACTTGTGGCATCCAAGAGCCTCTAAAATTATTGCGCTTCAAGTGACTTCCAAAGCTTGTGTAAACTCCAATAAAAGCAAGCATAGAGACTTTTCTGGTTTTTAAGATAGCCTTGACTCTTTGCATGTGCCAACTCTATTTCAGTTTCAACAATTGTCCTCTCAAGATCTCTATTAAACAGTTATCTTGTGTGTTAGTACATGCAAAAGAGAAACAAACTATCAGAAAAAAATCAGCTTACTTGCATCCAAGGACCACAAGCTTGTCCTCGACTGTAAGAACCTTAGGCCTCTATAATCCACAAGAACATGATCAAAATTTAAGACAAAACGTTTAATGAGTAAAATGACTCGCTCAAGTGATACTAGTTTCTAACTAAATATTCAAAAGAGGCACAAGAAATACCAACATGATCATAATTATTCTTAAGCACAGTATTGAGTGATGCTCAGTACTGCGCATCTTGCCATAACCTAAACGTAAGAAACAAAAACCGTAATATAGATCATAATCAACTGATACAGTAAGAGGGATTCGATTTGAGCTTGTGACTAATAGATTGAAATGGAACTCAAGCCCAAAAAGAGACATTGCAATATAGTCTGAAATTATAGAATCTAGACTAATGAAACAACTTTGTTGTTGACTTCCAAAGTTTGGTTAAACAAAGTCATATTGAAAAAAGCGATGGTTATGTGCTGGCTAACCATACTATGCTTTTGCAATATGAAGTTGACTTCCAAAGTTTGGGTTAGGCCTAATGAAACAAATTGACTTCCAGAGTTTACTGATGAAATATTCACTCTAGTAACTTTGGTTTTAGTATGACTTCCAAAGAGCTCTAGGGTCAATGTGCTATATGTGGCAACTCCATGGAGCCTAACTCTTCTCATGTCTTTATTTTCGACATTGTAGTAGAAAATGAAGAATGGTTTATCAACGGGTGGGAGAGTGTTTGGGGAAAACATGATTTCACCAGCCTTGTTGGTACCCGGCGAAGTCACATCGCCAAAGGGAAAGGAAGCTCAAACGTTTGCTTGGACCATTCATGTTTGATGGTATCCTCAAGTATCAATAAACCAAAAATTCGGAATGAAGAATATGGGTTTACTAAAACCGAAGCTAACTTCCTTCGGTAATCCATCAATATTGATTCAGTCTCCCAAAACACAACATTCCTAGGCGCTTTGATAAATCTAATCTTCTTGTGTCTAACATCAAAACACACAATCACCGTATCCATTCTTTGCTTAGGGGCCCAAGCACCATAATAGATGGAACCATTAATGTAAACTGCATCGGTTACAAGGTAATAAGGAGCGGTGGTAACATGACTGCGTGATACTTCTTCTCCTCCTCCAAGTGTTATAAACTCGTGCACTAGATAATCAAGAAACATGTCAAGAGAAGTCACTAGGTTAAACACATTGAATTGATGACCGATAGGATCATATCCCAAGGATGAGCGGGCTCCTATAGTGGTTAAGGTAATGACTTGCCTCGTGCTCGGTTACATAAAATGAGCTGAAAGCTATTATTAATATAACCAATAAAGCCGTGGATGGAAGGACACTTCCAACGGTAAGTCAAGACCATAGAAGATTGAATCTTCTAGCTTGTCTTTCTCATCTTCCTCGTTACAACCTCGCTCACCACTGCGCTTGATGGTCGTTTCCAACAAAATCTTGGATTCGACTCGGCAAAGGTGTTTGTTTTAGTGAGCGTTCATTAGAAAATTAGCAGGCAATCTATTAACAGCTTTAAAACTAAGATGTATGAAATGGTTTCTTCTATTCTTATGCGTGTGACTTGTGCTTGTAAACTAAGGTAGGGTTGATAAACCCAACTGTTTACAGAATATCGCGTAGCCTTTTTTCTTATTTTTGAATTTTAAAAAAAAAATAGTTTAAGACTCAATAAGTCAAAAATCGAAAGGGATAAAAAGCAACTCATGTTGTAAAAACAAAGAAAGTAGAACCGAATTCTACAAACCACTCTGTTATACTAACAGACGTGCGCACAGAGAAGAGTTGTAAGACGAACAGAGAACAAGAACTTTTACTTAATGATTCTTAACTCTTTTATTTCTCTGATTCTCTAGTTCTTCTGGTTCAATTTTGTCACAATGAGATTACATCATTTATATAGAAAACTAGAAATGTAACTTACTCCCATTACCCCATGGACTCATTATTGTCCTACATTAAACATAATTTGAAACCCCCAAATTAATACTAAAATCATAACTGACAAATACTTAAACTCTCACATTTATTCTCTTTGACCAAGCATTGAATCACTTTTCAACACTCTCCATTGATTCAAAGTTGCATACTCCAAGCTTTCTCCTGAAGTACTCAAACTTGTTCTTTGACAACGCCTTTGTCAGAACATATGCACTCTGCTCGTTTGTGCTACAATACTCCAAAGTAACTGAACCTTCACTAACCAAGTCTCTTATGAAGTGTACCTTGATAGATATATGCTTTGTTCTTCCATGATACGCCGGATTCTTGCTCATTGCTATGCTTGCCTTGTTGTCACAAAAAATTGTTGTAGGCTTCTTCTGCCCTTGCTTGACATCTTCAAGAATTCTTCTTAACCAAACAGTTTGACACGCTGCTGTTGTAGCTGATGTATACTCTGCTTCTGACGACGACAAAGCTGTAACATGTTGTTTCTTAGAACTCCAACACACCGCTCCAGAACCCAGATTGAAAACATGATCTGACGTGCTTTTTCTGTCTTGCACACAACCTGCCCAATCACTATTTTTAATCCCAACCAACTCAAATTCTCCAACTCTGTTGTACCAAGCTCTCGGAGCCTGCTTCAGCCCATATAGTGCCTTGTGTAACTTGTACACAAACCCTTCTTGGCCTTCTACCACAAAACCTTCAGGCTGATCAACATAAACTTCTTCAAGTAGCTCACCATTTAAGAAAGCTGACTTAACATCAAACTGATATATTGGCCAATTCATACTTGCACCAAACTGAAGTAAAACTCTCACTGTATCAAACCTTGCAACAGGAGAAAATGTTTCTTCATAATCCACTCTGTACTCTTGTGCATAGCCTTTGACCACCAGTTTTGCTTTATACTTCTGAACACTACCATCAGCATGATACTTTGTTCGAAATACCCACTTCACACCAATTGAGTGTTTACCTTCAGGAAGCTCGACTAACTCCCAAGTCTTACTCTTCTCTATGGACTCTATCTCTTCATCCATTGCTTTCTGCCACTCTGATTCCTCTACAGCCTCGTTGAACGATCCTGGCTCAGAAATGAACAACGCTTGCTGAACTTCATAAACCTCTCTTAGAGATCTAAATTTTCGAGGAGGACTTTCTTCTTCACTGCTTGTGTCACCGCTTCTGCTGTTGTGACCACTATTATTAGGCGAATTAAGGACTAAATTTGCGGGTGTATGACGTTCAGAACCAACTAAACTCTGATTCTCTCCCTGCTCAACAGTACCGTGCTGTTCTACAGAGCTGTCTGGCTGAACTTCAACATGCTCACCGTTATCACCCTCACACCAACTCCAAACTGCATCCTCATCGAATGTGACGTTCCTGCTTTCAACAATCTTCCCACTCACAGGATTATACAATCTATAACCTTTGGATTGTGAACAATAACCAAGAAATATGCATTTCTCAGATTTGTCATCCAACTTTCTCCTGAGATGAATATCAACAAGAGAATATGCAACACTGCCAAAAATTCTCAAGTGACTTACTGCAGGTTTTCTTCCACACCACGCTTCAAATGGAGTTTTTTCTGCGACTGCTTTTGTTGGTGAAATGTTCAGCAGATACACTGCTGTGCTCACACTTTCAGCCCAAAACAGATTTGGCAAATCTTCTGTTTCAACATACTTCTCGCCATCTCTACAACAATCATGTTCTTCCTCTCTGCTACATCATTATGCTCTGGTGTATAAGCTGTAGTAAGCTCATGATGAATACCTTCATCTTCACAAAATTGGTTGAACTCAGTAGATGTGAACTCTCCACCTCTGTCAGTTCGCAACACCTTGACTAACAACCCACTTTGTTTCTCCACTAGTGCCTTAAACTTCTTGAACATCTCAAATGCTTCACCTTTAGACACCAAAAAATAAACCCAGCTCATTCTGCTGTAGTCATCTGTTAACATGAGGAAATACTTACTTTCTCCAAGAGAAGTAGTCTGCATAGGACCACACAAATCAGCATGAACAATATCAAAACATTGAGTTGCTCTCCTTGCCTGACCAACAGGTAACGACCTCCGCGTTTGTTTCCCATATATGCATCATTCGCACATCCCAAAAGCACCAATATGTGGTAATCCAACCACCATATTCTTCTGACCGAGAATCTTCATCTCATTCTCGTGTAGATGCCCATATCGTAAATGCCACAACCTTGACATCTCTGAAACTTTCGCAACCAAAGTACTTGCTTCAATAGACGACATCTATAACGGGTACAGATTTTTTGCAGTCTTCTTCACCACTACTACTGTGAAATCAGATTGCTTATCCTTGATAACACACACATCCCCATCAAAGAAAACAGAACAATTGTTTTCCACTATTTGTCCAACACTCAACAGATTCTGCGCTAGATCAGGAATGTAATACACATCATAGATGAATTTGAGACTACCATCGCTATCCTTGATAGAAACGATTCCTCTTCCTTCAACTTGAACTTCTTTTTCATCCCCAAGCTTGACTTTCAGCTTGTATGTCTCATCTATCTCCTTAAACAATGACTTGATGCCTGTCATATGATTAGAACAACCGCTGTCCAAATACCACACTGTTTCAGACACATTTAGACTCTTATATGCCATGAAAAGTCTCGGCTGCACATCTTCTTCTGCAAAGCTCGCTTTCTTTTCTTCATTTTGCTTCTTCCAGCAATCAGCTTGCATATGACCCAACTTCTTGCAATAATGACACTGAATATTGCTCTTGTCTGTACCTTTGATGTACGACCCACCAGTGTTGTTCTGACCTCTTCCACGGCCATTGTCTGCGCGACCTCCAGATCTGCCTCTTCCTCTGCCAGATCCTCTACCAGAACCATTACTGTTGCCCTGTCCTGAGTATCCTCCCTTCACCTTGAAAGCTTTATCCTCAGACTTCTCAACCTTCTTACCAAGACGATCTTCATGCGACAACAACGAACTCATCATCTCATCAAACGTGTATTTGCTCAGATCATTGGCTTCCATGATCGCAGGAACAACATACTCAAACTTTGGAACTAAAGTTCTGAGAACTTTGCTCACAATAGTTTCGTCTGACACAGTTTCGCCATAAAATCTCATTTGGCTCACAATGTTTGACACCCTTGCCAAATACTCTTGTATTGACTATTTCTCCTTCATCACAATTGTTTCAAAATTATGACGTAGAGTCTGAAGCTTCACAGTGATTACCTTCTGATATCCCTGGTACTCACGCTTCAAAATTTCCCACGCTTCGTGAGACGTGTTCACGGCTACAATCCGTGACAGGATATCTTCATCCAAGGCTGACTGAATGAAGAACAGTGCCTTCGCATCCTTCTTGCGATTCTCCCGTAGCTGCTGCTCGGGTTCTGCTGGATTCACATCTTCAAATCCATTCTCCACCAAATCCCAAGTCTCTTGAGACCTGAACATAGTCTTCTTCTTAAGACTCCAAAGGTGATACTTCTCACCCTTAAACTGCAGAACTGAAAGTTGTTGGTTTCCTCCATTGGCTGCCATCGCTCACTCTGTCTTTTCCACACAAAGATCAAAGAGGACTGAAACGCAAACGCTCACTTTGTCTTTTCCACACAAAGATCAAAGGGGACTGAAACCTAACGCTCTGATACCACAATGTTGTAAAAACAAAGAAAGTAGAACCGAATTCTACAAACCACTATGTTATACTAACAGACGTGCGGAACAGAGAAGAGCTGTAAGACGAACAGAGAACAAGAACTTTTACTGAATGATTCTGAACTCTTTTATTTCTCTGATTCTCTAGTTCTTATGGTTCAATTTTCTCACAATGAGATTACATCACTTATATAGAAAACTAGAAATGTAACTTACTCTCATTACCCCCATGTACTCATTATTGTCCTACATTAAACATAATTTGAAACCCCCAAATTAATAGTAAAATCATAACTGATAAATACTTAAACTCTCACATTTATTCTCTTTGACCAAGCATTGAATCACTTTTAACAACCCATCCCTAGAATTGAGAACAAGAGCTCAGTTCAGGACTCAGAGCAGTGATAACAATGGCGGAAACTATCAACAACTTATCTCCCACACTCAATCCTGTAACTCCCAATTATGTCCATCCAGAGCTTCTTGAACTATTACCCAATTTCTTCTCTATCGATAAACTCAGCGTAGCCGAAGACAACTATGTTTTCTGGGAATCACGATTTCTCGATTACCTTGGAATCAAGAACAAATCCAGGTTCATCGACGGCACCATCGAGAAGCTGGATCTTTCCTCGCCTCTCTACAAGCCATGGAAATGATGCAACGCGATGGTTATGTGCTGGTTGATGAAATCGATAAGCGATAAGTTTGTATAGTATGTGTTATAAGGCAAGGTGGTGACTCTGTGGCGAAGTATTTTGGGAAACTGAGTAAAGCTTGGATGGAGTTGTCGGAGTATGATCCTGTGCCCGAGTGTAACTGCAGTGGTTGCAATTGCGAGGGTACGAAACGAGCTAAAGAGGCGAGAGAGAAGGAGCAGCGTTACGAGTTTTTGATGGGTTTAAACAGTGACTTTGACCTTATGATGACAACAATCATGCTCAAGACACCACCTCCGTCACTTTACCAAGCTTACAATATGGTTAAGCAAACAGAATCTTCGATGAAGAGGTACAGAAGATGAAGAATTTAGGAATTGTATGTCCATGATCATAACTTTCTCTCTATGTTTTGTTTTTATAGCTTTTATTTTACATTCTAGTTTCTCTTAATGAGTTGGTTTTGAAGCCGTATTGGTATTTCAATGTCATATGGATATTAGATTCTTCATGAACTGAGATTTTGTTGCTTGGCTAGTTAGCATGCCAACTAATGGAAATATGAACATCATTAATTCATTATAGATGATATTCAAAAGATATACATGCGATTTTGTTAGACCATTAGGATTCTTTTTTTTAGAAACAAAAGATATACATGTGATTTTTTCAGACCATTAATATCAGCGGCCAGCTTCATTGTCCAATATTGGTACATTCTTGATGATGTCCTGTGCAGAAAAGATTTGAACACCTAGCAAGTGTTCATCCTGCTCAAGATACTGATCCGAGAACTTATGCTTTGTTGCTTTGACTTTCAAGGCCTCTAGCTCTCCAGCTACTTCTTTCATCTTTGGCCTTTCTTCACCCATAATTCTTGTACATTTGCCTGCAATTTTCGCAGCTTCGTGGATCTCCCACTGATTGTCTTCGTTCATCACTTTCCTATCAATAATCTCATGCAACCTATTCTCTTTTGTGGAAGAAACAAAGTGACCCACCAGATGTTTTGAGTGATGTGGTCTTTCAAAGCACAATGCCTTTTGACCTGAGATCAGTTCCATGAGGACTACCCCGAAGCTATAAACATCGCTCTTCTCGTTCAGAAGCCCTGTGTTGTAGTATTCTGGGTCTAAGTAACCCAGAGTACCTTGCACCAAAGTTGTGAGCTGCTCTTTATCCATCGGTATCAGCCTTGAAGCACCAAAGTCAGCTACTTTTGCAGTTAAATTTTCATCCAAGAGGATATTAGCAGTCTTGACATCTCGGTGAATGATTGGAATAGAAGCGGAGGAGTGAAGATATGCAAGTGTTCCAGCAACTTCTATTGCTATCCTTAGACGGTGTTCCCATGTAAGAGAAGAATCAAACATGGAACCGTGCAAGTGATCGAAAAGGGTGCCATTGGTAATGAACTCATAGACTAATAAAGGAATTTCAGTCTCTAGACAGCAGCCCAAAAGCTTGACCACGTTCCTGTGGTTGATTTGTGAAAGAACGAGCACTTCGTTGATGAACTGCTCTACTTGGCTATTTTCTCCAAGCCGAGCTTTCTTTATAGCAACTATGGAGTTATCTGGTAATATCCCTTTGTAGACTGTTCCCTGGCCTCCTTGGCCCAATATTCTGCTTTCATCATAACCATTAGTTGCTTCCTTCATGCATTCCTCAGTAAATATTTTAACATCAACATTTGATGGCCCTGCTCCTGAGAGTCGATGTATCAATATGCCGCCACCATTTTTCTCGAAGAATTTTTGTCGGAGCTCAGTGTTTTTCCGGTGCTTCGTTTTCTGTCTTATACAGCTAATGCCAAGCAAGATGGCCAAGAAGCCGATGACGGTTCCTAATCACACACATCATAGACATACAAAGGTTTAGAATGAGTTGATTTAGGTAACAATAAGTCTAGAAACAGTGAAGAAAGCTTACCAAGCATTATTATTGTCCATCCAACGTCTTTACGCTTGCAGCTCATAGTGTTGGTATTTAAGCGGTAACCAGGTTGGCACTTGCAATAAAAGCTCCCACGGGTGTTTCTACAGGTGTTGGGATCCGAACAGTTATGTCTAATGCTAGTACACTCATCAATGTCTGGCTCAAGGAAAAAAAGAGCAAGATGAAATAACAAATGTGTCAGGACAACAATCAACACTTAAAAGAGGAAATAAGTAAACTATATGATTATGTGAAGTACCATGGCAGCCGTATGAAAGGTATGGATTTCCCTCAAAACCTTCAAAACATTTGCAGTTATAGCCGACTCCACGAGTAGAATCAAAACATGTGCTGTTCCCACCACATATGTTCGTGTTCCTAACCTGTTCGCATGTTTGTTGTCCAATGGACCAATCTAATACCACAGGGAAGTCTGTGACATTTCGCAGATTCTTTAGGTCCTCCAACGCATCGAAGTTGAATGAACCATTTTCGACGAGAAAGGCATAGTTGCAAGGATTAAAGCTCTGCACAGAAGTGTAGTTGTTAAAACTCTTAGCTTGAACTTCAAAGGATTTGTCCCCCCTAGAGACAGAACTCTGGCAGCAACCTTTACCAGAACATTCTTCATTTGCCTCCGGACGAGAATCACACATTGACATGCATCCAGATGATGAGTTAGTTCCGTATATACTCAGGAACGCGTGAATGTTGCAGCCTACAGCAGTAAGCCTGTTTTTGGTGGAGAGAGTAAAATCACCCAGCGTAAAATTATTGTATAGCCAATCACTCAAGTTTCCACGGCTATTGTAGCAAGAGTAGGAAGGGGGAACCCGAACACGTAATTCGCTGCTGTGAGAAATGCTGATGACCGGAAGGTTTCTATAGAGAAGCTGCTTCTTTTTCTCATTACAGGTGAGTTTAAAACTAGGATCTTTGGCATAGTAACAACCTGAAGAAGTGCCAAAAGGGTACTCGATTGTGACATTGCCACATCTAGTTGAGCAACCCTCGCGAGGTTGAGGTTTCCCCTTGACCAGCTGCGTATATGCATGAAAGCAAATAGCCACCAAGAACACACCCTCATACAACTTCATCTTCTCACTTTGGAATTTTTTTTTCTCTTTGAGTTTTCTCTCATCTGACCGAGGCTTCTTAAAGCTAAATCAACAAAACTTTGCTCTTGACTTGCTTCCCTTGACCTGTCCCCGCTTTGTCATTATCTGTTGGAAGCTGCTATACTATTACAGTATAAAACTACAAGAGACTAGACTGTAACGCCAAAACGTTTAAGTAGTGGACTTTTCAACCATTTAAAACTTCAATCTCTATCTTCTCTTACTTGTTTTGATATATCCAGGAAACTTAACCACTTCATTACGGCATACATTACACTTGGATGTTGTAAGTTATTATTTGGGAAAATTCTATAAAAATTCTCCATCTAATTTTAATTTGGAAGTTTAATACCAAATGTTATTTGATTGGAAATAAAATACATGATTTATTAATTTGTTGTCTATTAATACATCAAGTAAATAAAAATTGTCGAATCGAAGAAACCGCTTAACAAACGATAATCGGATTGACGGAATCACTAAACCGGGGTTAATGGAATTACACTAAACTTAGGGTTTATCGATCTCAATTCGATTTGGGATAATAGTAAAGGACAATGCAGTCTTTGGATAACTCCAAATTACCCGTGTGTTTAGGGATTAGTGATTTCGTCAACCTCGGTTTAGTGATTCCGTCAATTCGATTAATCGGTTTATTCGATTCGACAATTTTTATATATTTAATGTATTAATAGACCAAAATTTAATAAACCATGCATTTTATTTCCAATCAAATAACATTGGGTATTAAACTTCCAAATTAAAATTAGATGGAGAATTTTTAAGGAATTTTTCCGTTATTATTTTCAAACTTATTAGCTGTTAAGGGTTCTCGATTGTAACATTAATTTCCACATTTAGTTTGTACGTCAATCCTCACAAGGTTGAGGCTGCCTATTGACCAGCTGCGTATACTAAAGGGAAACCAGTAGCCACCAAGAACACACCCTGCATCTTCATCTTCCACATCTCTTCTAACTTTATTTCTCTTCTCTTTAACTTTTTGGAATATTTGAGAGAGAAGAAGAAAAAAAACAGAGTAAGAGACAAAAGTCTCTTCTCTTGTAGAAGACAAGAACTAAACTAAAATTTGTATTGAACTGAAACTTGTTATCATTGTTACAACAACACTTACACTTATATACACGAAAATGTGTTACGGTCGTAACCATTCACACAGACAAGTCATGAAACAACACAACTATCTAACTCACACTCATTCGTTTATACGCACCTCTTCACGTAAGTATATACACACTAATTGATCTAATCATATAAGAGATAATAATAAGACCAAACTCAATTATAAACCAACATAACTTGTTACTCTTTTGAGGTTTCTCTCATCTCATTGAAGCTTTTTCTTACACGAAGCAAAACCCAACCACATGAGATGTTCTCTTTACTCATTTTCATAGAACCGTTCCCATTCTTTCGGAAATTTCAGGAATCTACAAGACTAATAATTCAACTAAACAAACATGACCATGCCCCAATGAAACACGCATGCATGAAGGACGTTCATACATGCTTCATATCCCAACAATATACGTTTACTTCGGTTAAATAGTGACAAATCGAGGTCACGGTCGTCTCGTCGTTTCTTGATATCTTATTCGTTTTCATGGGGTAGCCAATTCGTTTTTAAAAAAAAAAAAAAAAAAAAATTCTTTCTAATGGATTAGACTTATTTTCTTACTATTCAAAGATTAAGACGCATGGGTTGCAAGGAATCTTCAGTTACATGGCAAATTTATTCTCTTTTTCTTGACATTTAACTTGGCTTGTAGTGGTACGATGTAGGAGAATAAGTCTCCTGAGTCATGATCATTGATCACAACATGCTCTGTTTTCTTGTGATGCTTCTATCACGAGTTGTCTTTTTAAATTCCCATATGACATCACATATATAGATATTTTGTAGTCATTTAATCCAAGCTTTATGAACCTTAATTTAGATATCACATTATAATGAAATGACATAAATGTGTAAATAAGTTTTTTTTTTTAAGTGGACCGTATCTTATTAATTACCCACTGAATGGGCCGGGCCGTCACAAAACGAAAAAGCCCATAAGCAAAGGTAACCGGAAATTACAATTGTCGCCGGAAAAGAAAATCTGAACCTATTGACACCAGCGATGCAAAGACCCACCATTAGAACCGGCAGATGCGAGATCCACCGCTTTGCAACCAAACCGGGGTATCTAGTCAACGGTGGGAAGCATCTCACTCCCAGCCTCCGTTCCTTTTCCCCCGATCCGCCAACCCGCTATAGATCTCCCAGTAAGATGAACTCCGACACCACGGCACGTGGCAGATGGCTCCCGTTCCTAGCAAGCCAGCCGCTTCAGCTCGAATCCTTCTTTCCCAGATAAGACGAAATCCGATAACCGATCTAATCCCCTTCTAACCGGTCCGGAGGAAGCAAGACGAGGTGGTGATTAAGGCCGATGGCTCAATCGGAAGCTTAACCACACGAGATCCCCGACGGCCATCAAGATCCGAAAAGGATCTTCCATTAACCTCCCAGACAAATCAGTAAAAATATGTGTAAATAAGTTAATATATGTAAACACCATCCTACTAGAAGGAAATCGACCGTAGTGAATTGTGATCATCCAGCGTGTCCTTGTAGCGTTTGAACATTGCTACCTTCATGTCGCTGTTTACTCTTCAAGAAGAAGTCTCTTCGAAACTTTCATACACATCCACCACGTCTCGCCAAAAGAAGCCACGAGAAAATATCAAGCTGTTATTTTGACGATTATAATAATCTTTACAAAGAGATATAAAAGGTCATATAGAGGTGATTTTATCAACTAATTGAAAGAGACATGTCACTTTCTGAAGCAAAATGAAATGAATCACAAGACTGATGATCACTTACTCTCTCCATAAGAACGTAAACATACATTTACATAGTCTTACGAGTAAAATGCTAAATGCTGACGAAAACTGATTATTCAATGTTTCTCCGGATTGTGGAACATAAGTAGTTCACTTTGATTGTCTTTTCAAGCAAATCTCTAATATGGAAGATATAGTAGGAACCGTCATTACTAAAAAGATCATATGTATATGTTAACAAAAACAAATTATGAGATTTGATGTGATCAAGCATGGTCACAAAACTTGGGCAATCTTGTGCAACAAGAATGATAAGTTCATTTAGGCACACAAGGGGGAAAAGGGCCATTTCATACATGTACCCAACCGAGTAGTGTCAATTTCTACCTGAAGAAACGAACAGTGTCAATTTATACATGTACTTTAATAAAATTCAAATTTCATACATGAACGTTTCAAATCGAGCCGAATTTGGAGTCCATGTTAACGGAGCTAAATCAACGGAGCCCAATTTAACTTCTTTGTCATTGTTAATCTCTATTATTTTCTTGACAGTAATTTCCATCTCATCAAAACAATTTATTTGTTCAAATATATGTAAAATATGCTCTGTTTTTTGTTTTCAAATAAATTTCTAGAGTTTTATGAGTTGTTGGTTACAAAGTAGAGCAATCTTATGCAACTCAAGAATGATCAAGTTAATTTAGAATACCAAAATATAAAAGTTTTAGGTACAGTAACAAAAAAAAATGTAGGAGTGAAGCTGTGGATCAAATTTACAGTTTAGAACAAATGAGCCCTTTATTTTTTTAGTTACGTACATATCACGCAATACACAAGTATCATTAGGGACCCTAGACTGGAATCGTAACTCTTTTGTTTTTCCATTTGTTTTTCCATTCTTTGGAGAAAAACATAATTAGCTTAATTACCAAAACGAAGGTTGTGACTAAATGTTTAATATATTTTTGCTAAATTTTGTGGATCTATTTATATGTCTATAAGTAAATATCCAACCTGACAACACCAACAGCTTTTTTATTGTTGCAGGTCTTACACTCCAAGGTTGTGTCTCCTCTTTCAAGTTTACACGCACATTTAGTGCAGGCAATGTAGTGCCAGCCATAATGAGGCGAGATTTCTACAATTATAGCAATGCAAATAAAAGTGGCTTTCTGCTACATTGGTATATTTGTAAGAAACTAATTCCTCTAAAATAAGCGGATAAGTTTCCGAGGACCTTCAGTACCGTACCCCCAGACCAGCAGCCTTCGCGCCAAGCAAGACCTCCCTTGTCGCTAGTGCGTGTTGAACCGCCATCTTCTATCTATGTAAACAATATCTCGAGTTCTTGGTTCATTTAAGTCTATTTATAATAGTTGTTGACAAAAAAAAATTCCTCAAAAATTTATTAAAAACGGATCAGTAGAACAATATTTGATCTCAATAATAATACCCAAGGAGTGTTGTTTTCCAGAAATGATAGATTTCGCCAATGGTAATTGGTTCTGGCTTTGTAACCTCTGAAGTGAAGCTGTTGACGACAACAGAGTCATTCTTTCCTTCTTCCCCCAACCTTGGGAAATAAATGCATGCAACTTAATAAAGATAAATATATGTATACAAGTCTGAACATATATAAATCCGTGAGTGCGTAAATACTATGTCAAGACTGGGGTAAGGGTTAGTGACATTTGACATGGTCGTATTCTAGAAAAGTTATTGAAAAGACCCGACCCGTTTTTTCTTTGTAATTCATTACTTAATAATCCAATACCCACTAATTAATCTAACCGAATTAACCCAACAATAAACCATCGTGCACATCGGAAATATATAAAACCAATACCAATTAATCATAATATTAATTAACCAATTATTCAATAACCACAATTTACACCAGTAACCTAGCATGCCTCTAAATCAGGTTGCAACAACAATTAAACATATTCATAAACAGAACAACCGAGACCCTAGATCATCCTCCTCTCCTCGCCATGATTCCACGTATCACACTTTACCTGCACCATAAACACAATGAGATGCGTGAGTATTATCACAAATACTCAGTGAAGCGATCCTCCCATCCACTGGGCTATACACACAAGCAAATTAAACTAATCTAACAT